AGACCCTTTGCCTGTTACAGTTTTATTGTTGCCTTTAACCCACTATGGAAAGACTGTATTTCTCGTGCTTCACTGCTAGACAGCAGATAATGGTTTCACCAAATCACAGCTTGTACAGAAAAAACAAGATGAGAAACCCCCTCACTTGTGAAGGTAGAAGTAAAAACCAAAACCCCAGAAAACTAAAGCTCCACAGAATGACAAACAGTTTTGAAAAGCTCTTTGCTGCATTTAAAACATTCACCTGGAGACAAGTGGACTTTCCTTGAACCAGAAACTAATAAAACACTACTGCTTAAAATATTTAGACCGCTGCAGATTTCAGAGCTGTTTGTCTTTCTAAATGAGCCACTTGGGACGTTGCTAAGGAGGAAGCTGCCTTTTTGGCGTCAGATTAGTAGCAGGGCTAACTAATCATCAGGTCCAGCCAGTCAAGACCACCAGCTTTGGTGTCAAGACAGAGCAGAGTGACTGAGTTAGTCCCACATGTCGGGGTGAAAATGAAGGCGGCTGGCATTTACTTTTTGGTAAAAAAGAAGAAAATAATCTCTGTCACTATACTGACATGTAGTGTGTGAATTCTGCCTCATTACTGTGGCCTTGTGCCATGGATAATGCAGACAGTGGTGCAACCACGGCATGAGTCCCTATGAACAGAAGGGTCATCAGGCAGCCAGCTTCTGCCCAGATTCCTTCCAGCTTGGGGTCTCTGCAATGTGAGGGGAAGGGAGGGAGGGCAGATGCTTTTGTCTAGACAGAGAATGAGGGAATCAGAGTATCAGGGCTTAAAAACTCGAAAGGTTTCACTGAAACAGAGGAACGTGAGCATGTACATCTGTAGCTTGGGAGTCATTGCTGGGACCACCAGTTTGAGAAGGATATCAACTCAAGACAAGAAACAAAAACCTCTGCATTACATGGAGGTTAGAGGATGCTCATCTCCCAAAAGCCAGCTGAGGTGGGGAGCTACGTGTGCCTGCCTGGTTCATACAGATGTGAACCAAACAGTGATTGGTACTGGTACATTCTGACCTGTGTCTGTTGATGTGCTGTAAGGATGTGGTGTCCCTGAGCAGTGCCCAGCCAGGAGTGGAGCCAGGGCTTGCTCCCCCTGGAGGTGCCCATTCACAGACATGGTAGGATCCTGGAAGAAGCCCTGTGAGAAGGGGTAGAGATGGATCCCAGCAGGGCCTGCCCAACAGCACTGCCATGGATGCTCCTCCTCCCTATTGCCCAAGTGCCGTGACCCTCCCTACCCCTGATTAACTCCTGGCCTGAAGAACAACTTGCCATCCTTCATGCTCTAGATAGGAACTAGGCACAGCTTGCAAACCCAGCTAGGCACTCAGTGCTCCTGGCAGTACTCCCCTCTGCTCAGGCAGCCCCCTAAAACACAAGTCATAATCACTTGCCTCAACCCATTAGCCTTTCCCCTCCCTGTGTGCTTGTGAAGGTTGTGCTCACCCTCAAGGCTCCCACATTTGTCTTGGAACAAAGCCTCCCTTCTTTCCCCCTGTTCCTATTGTACGTGCAATAACTTGCTGTTTGTTCCCTTGCAAAGGCTGCAGAGTGCCTCTAAGCTTAGTTTGTGTCCAAAAAAACATCCCTCTCCAGCAGGAGAAGATTCGTGATGCATCCCAGATGTTTGCATGTGGCAGCAGTCTCCAGACACAACAGATTGTGGGAGAGAGATGGATAAGCAACGAGCAATTGTTTCTCCTCAGAGGCAGGGAAGTTTTGGCACTGGCTCTATTTACCACACTGGTACATGGAACCTTTTAAACGTCACTGGGATGTGTTTCTGTGTCTAGTTGTGGCTGTCACAGGGAACTGGAAGGCGGATGCAGAACAGTTTCAGATCATTATATAAGACTCATCTTTGGTTACCTACTGCTGGCTCTAAATTATCCCATTCCCATCCCTTCAAACAGGAGAAAAGTACTGGCTGAGGCTGTCTCAGCCCTGCAGCTGCAGTTGGTGTGCTCAGTACGGCCTCAGTTTGTGTTTGTGGCTCACTCTGGTTACCTCTTTTGTCCCACCCTTGCAGGATTTTTGGCAAGGACTGGATTTTGAGGCTGGGCTTGTTACTGGTCGGCTGGGACCCTCCTCCCTGCCCCAGGCCCGATGCTGACCTCGGTATAAGAGAAATTATTCAGTCTTAGAATGCATTTCTTTGTATGAAAGCTGTTAAGCCAAACAGGTTCTCCGTGCTGCAATCACTGCCATGCCCAAGCATAGAGGCACTGGGAATGGGTATTTCCCATGGGAGTGCTGCCCACCTGAGCTATTATTCGGCATGCTGGCCAGGCTGGAGCTGTCAGGCCTGTCATGCCCACACTGGTGACAAACAGCAAGGCTAATGGGGGGTGAACGCAGAAAGAGAATTCCTTTTACATGGAAAATTTCCCATGCTTCATCAACATCGTGCTGCAGATAGGGCCAATGAAAATAAGAAGTGTCTCAAATACTGAGCTTCACAGAGACAGGCAAGGGGCTGAGCGGCTCTTCACTAGAGATATTTTTCTTTTATTTAGAGGTTGACACTGGTGAAGACCTTGTCCACTCTGCCATGTTCCAGCAGCCTCAAAAGGAACACTGCTGTGCTCAGCTTCCTGGAAGGGTTATTGGATGCCAAAGCTCAATGTTAGTGGAAGAAATCCTTTCCTATTGACAAGGGGGGAGGAGAAAAACCAAACAAGTCATCTACAGCAATCTGTGTCAACAGCTTTTTCTGAGAAATAGCCCATATAATTCACAGTGGGAAAGGGACATGTATCAACAAATTACTTGGGAAGAGCAGACTTTGGTGAGGCAAATGGGACCAGTACCCCAGCCTGCCCTTTGGTAGAAGGTAGTTTCTACAAAATGCTGTCCCAGTGGTACCTCACGCCACTGGGTGTGTGGACAGAGGTGGAGCAGGAGTAAATATGGGAGGAACAGCAGAGAAATTGTGATGACAATCATGGTGGCATCCTTTTCTAAACAGGATGAGGAACTCATAGTTTGCTTTCATGGCATCTGCTAACACTGCCTAAATGGTAACCCTGATAGCAGATTACAAATCCTTCAAAATTTGACATGTATCTGAATTATTTTATGTATTTTCAATGGGGAAAAATAACCATTTTCTTGGCTGATTGTCCTGGATTTAGCAATAGCAGTCAATTTTTCTCCTTCTTGGTAGCTGGTGCAGTGCTGTGTTTTGGCTTCCAGCCTGGGAATGGTGCTGGTGATACCGATGTTTTCGGTTGTTGCTAAGTGATGTTTACCCTGACCAAGGACTTTGTGAGGCTCATGCTCTGCCAGGGAGGAGGGGAAGCCGGGAGGAAGCAGAGACGGGGCGCCTGACCCAGGCTAGCAAAGAGGTATTCCATAACACAGCACGTCATGCCCGGGGTGGGGGTAACTGGGAGTTACCCGGAAGGACACAGGCTTCTGGGTGGGACTTGTTTCTTGGCCGGTGGTATCGTATTCTCTTCCCTTGTTATTTTCTCTTATCATTGTTGTCGTTGGTGGTAGCGGTGGTGATTTGTGTTGTACATTGGTTGCTGGACTGTTCTTGTCTCAACCCATAGGAGTTGCACTCTTTCGATCCTCCTCCCCATTCCTCCGGGAGTGGGGAAGGGGAGAGACCTGGCAAGGGGGGCCTCGATTGCTTCCAGCCCGGCACCACTCACTGGGAGTGAGTGAACAAGCTGTCTGGCTAGGGTTTAAACCACGACACTGATTCAGAACAACAAACACTGGAGATGGTGAATGATCAGGAACGATGAAGCACCGTATGTAACACCTGGCTGGATACTGCCTGTTGAATTGGAGCAGGTCTGACTCATTGGAGCTGATTTGGGAAAACCCACCCTCAATCTCAGCTGCTTGCCTTTTCCATCACGGGGTATGCAGGCATTACCAGAGGTGCCCAGGCCATCAGCTTCAGACACTCCTGAATGCAGCACTCCCTGGGCACAGGGGGAAGCTGTGGGTGTGGTTTGTGCAGTCCTTTGGTGGGGGCTTCATTTGGAGCCCATCTGTGGTAGGCGCAGGGCAGCTCTCCAGGTCAGTGGGGACATGTGGCTGTCACAGCTCTGCCCATCCCACATGATGAGGCACTTCACCTGCCGTGGAGCAACCCCCTTTGGAGAGCAGACCCTGTGTCATTTGCCTCATCTCCTACACCATTAACTCCTTCATCATCCTCCTCCGTATTAATTCTGAAGCTGCTCTAGCTGTCACATCTGCACACTTACCAGCTGGTTTCCTGGCTTAATTGCCCTCAGAGGGCTTCTTCAAGAGCCACACCTGCTTTTTTAAGGGCCTTAATTTGTCACTGTCCAAACTGGAGCAGCAAGTATCTAAAATTCAGCCCCTGTGACTGGGTTGTATTTCTTCAAATGCATGACTAATTGCTGGGCCTTTGCATTCAGCTATTTCTGTGTAAAACAGAGCCTGTCTTTTGCTGGAAAGCGCCCCACATCATGGATATTAAACATCATCTTGTCAGTGGGATTTGCATTTGTCCATCCCATTTGTTCTTGCAGAAAGAGGCTGTATGAAACAAGGAAAACTCAGGGCTCTCCAGAGTTCATTCTGTTTAAAGGGAAAAAAAAAAATTTTCTATGTCAAAACTGTTTTTGGGGGTGTTCCAGGTCATCCCATCCAGCCCCTGCAGCAGTGTTCCATAATCCAGCTCATAAAAGTGCTTGAACTCTGTCTTAAAAGACATTAAGGTTTTATTCTGTCCTCCTTCACAGCTGCTATGGGAAGTCTTGCCACCAAAAGCCTACCAATAAGGGTGAAGACATGGATGGAGTAGCAAGGGAGAGAGATTTATGGGTGGGTGGATGGATGGATGGATGGAGGGAGGGATGGACAGATGGGTGGACAGAGGGATGGAGGGAGAGAGGGATGGAGGGAAGGATACATAGGCACAGATAAGCACTTTTAATAAATTAATCTTGAATTTGAGAGAGCCTCCCTCTGCCCAGGGGTCATGTAGAGGGGGTTCCTCTCAGAAATCAGAAGCAGGTCCTTCCTGAGTCACTTTGTATGGCCATGGCCTGCAGGGGCAAAACTACCCTGCGCAGGGGAGCACAAAGCAGTGGTTGCCAGTGCACTGATTTTTAGCGGTGTAGGATGAGCAGCACATTGACCACTGAAGAAAGGCTGGAACTGCCTGTTTTGAACATGTGCCTGGGACCCTTCAACATGGGACACAGGGGCAGCTCCTGCTCACGCCCTGGTGCCCCTGCTTCCCAAAGGCTGCTAGAGTTCTGATATTAAAATGCCTCATTTTCTGCAGTCAGGGGAGAAATGAAATGAGCTCCCCAGAGCTCAGATAAGCTCTGATCCATGGGGCTGGTGCAGCGAATGGGCACCATGCCACCCCCACCACAGCTTGCTCCTCAGCCCACCTCACTGTTTCATTGCTGTCTTTCATTGCTTTAATGAGAGTCCCCCTGTGCTGATGAGAGCTCAGAGTCCTCCTGGGCAGCACTGCTGGGACTGCCTAACACAAGCGTGCCATGTTTAACCTAGAGCAAAGCTGTCAGTGAGAACAAGTAACAAAGCAAGGAGCTGTGTCACTCATCCCTGCTGCACCCTGCTCCCCTCTCCTGCGCTGCTTTGTTTCCCACTAGTGGGATCAGGGTTTAATAACAACACAAACAGCTGTACATGCAGCCCAAGTCCTCTGCATTTGGAAGTATATCCAGCTGATTCTTGTCAAGGATCATTAAGGGCCACGTAAACACCCATGTCTCCCTGAGGTTGGTCTTCTTCCTATTGAACTCAAAGCAGAAGCGAGTTCACTCAGGAAACTACATGGAGTCAGCAGGTCAGGCGTGGTGGGGTTTGGTGCTGTGGCAGGAGGAATCAGCTATAGAATAAAGGGTAACAGAAAGAGAATTGGGAGGGGGAAGAGAGTAGCAATGAGAAACACAGAGTGAAGGAAAAGTTCTGATTGTTACTTTGCTCGCTTCAGTTCTCCCACCTAAAATGTACTGATTTTTCCCAGCTCTGCCTATTTAAATCACCCCATTTTTTTCTGCAGGGAAGCTGCTTTCCTCTCCCCTTCTCTGCTCCGAGGTATTCCCAGACCTGGCAGACCCTGAGCTCTGCACTGGTAAATGAGGGCTCTTTCCTTCCGTCTCCCCCAGCCATCCCAGTCCCGATGTAGGAGACTGCACTCCTTGCAGTGCTGCTGCTGATGGATGTCTTCCGCTCCAGAGTGGGAGCTTATCAGCAGGTCCAGTGGGTGACACTTCCCAGGCAGCAGGGAAACCAGTCAGAGCAGTGGAAACGGGCAGCCTCATCAGGTGGTGGTGGTGGTGGTGTGGCTTCAAAGGAAGCCACTATGGGTGCTAGGCAGGAATAATTGGAGACCAGGCAGTGCTGGGCAGCCTGCAGTGATTTCCTGATGGAGCAGGGCTGGTAGAGCAGAAACAGTGCTGCTGATACTGACTTGCCAGATTTGGGATAACGTTATGCTGGTTTGCAAGTCCATAGAGACTTCTGCATAATTCAGATTTTATCAGACTGATCTATACAGCTGTAAACACCTGTACAAAGCTTGGGAATTATGGTGTCCAGACAACTGCCATTCTGAAATGCTCTTATTCTTGAGCACTCCTCAATAGCCTTCCCTTAACGTAAAAATGTTTCAGTCCCTACACAAAACACATTTTTCCATGGAGATGAAAGTTGCCTTTCAAAGCAGCTATTAAAGACTCATTATGCTCAAATAGAGGGTTTCAAACTTTTCCCTTCATTAGGCCTTGTTTTCTTAACAAAATCCTGTTGGATTTGCAGCCTCCTGCCTGCTCTGCACAGCCCTACAGGGAAAAAGAGGAGGAGATGTTACATGGAGCTTTTCCAACCCCTTTCACTTCCCAGAGCTCATGTGGTATGCATTTCACCCTGAGGTGGGGAGTTTTGACTTCTGCTGAGCAATTAGGAGATAAGGAAGGTGGCCAGCACCACAGGATCTTCTAACTCACCCCTTAGTTGTGAGGTCCTGGTACTTGCATCCCATTTAGGTGAGAAATTGTCATTTTTGGAACTGCTATGGGCAGCCAAGACAGATTCTCATGCTGTCCCCATGCAGGTGGTCCCTCAGCACCCTCCTGCTTGTTTGACCCATGTTCATTGGACACAAGGGGAGCATCTCTGGACAAACATAGGCAGTGCTGCCAGTTCAAAGGGAGTCCTGCTGTGAATTAAAGGGCTTATTAGTATACCTGCACTGCTTCTCCTCCATCATCCCCTCACTGCCCATGTGGTCAATTAATGTAAGGAAGACAAGATAAATCCCAATGAGTAGATCTGGAGACTTATTTCTATTAGATCAGTCTCTTCCATGAACATTGTTGTTAGTTTGTGGAGCTTAAAGAGGGATTAGAGCCCCTTGTCCTTGAGGCCCTTGGTGTTGGTTTTTGAGGCCTTGCTGCCATTTGCACCATCCCATGCTGGGAAGTGGGGTCTACCATGAAGGCTCTGGAAAGCCTTAATCAACTGAACCCTGGTACAATGCACCCGGCTTCTGCGCAAGCAGCTGATGTGATGGTGGGCTTGGAGAAGTGGGTCTGGAGAGAGCATCCTGGGCTCACTTCTATTCTAAGGAGAAAAGGTTTGTTGTGTCCATTTGCTAATGTGAATTACATGTCCCTGGGCGATGTTCAACAGTTAAATATTGAAATGCATCTGGAAAAAAGGACTGTGTATACAAGCTACAGTATCTCCTGTGATGTTTTTAATGTCCCTAATTTACATCTGACAGCTTTGCCATTTCTAAACAATGTTATCATTTATCTTTCTGATGATTAATCAGCACAAGCTTCAAACACTGTTTATCACACTTTGATGCAGCAATCAAACCAGAAAGGCAAGGCATTATGGGAATGTCTTTTGCTTCCCCCAAACCTTACAGCATTTACAAAAAGGTGCACATTTTCCCCAACACCATTCTTAGAATTATTCACTCATTCACAATCAGTCATTGTATAAAAACATCATTCAGAAATAGGTTTTAAAATACACCGTCCTCCTTTGCATAGTATACAGAAAAATAGGCAAGAGTCAAAACATGTGATTTTGGAATGAGAATGCGAACTGATTCAGAGGTACAACGCTTCCCAGGAAGAAAGATGCACTTCTCAAAAATAATCATCTGTAGCTCTCCTGAAGCTAATGAGCTGCTTTCTTGCAGGTCTGCCACCAAATCCCCCTTTTGCCGTACACACAATGCTTTCATTAAGGTCAAACAAGTCATATTGCAATTAGATTTACTCTGCAGTACTTGCATATGGACCCAGACCAAAATGATCAGTCACAAAAATAAGTTACACAAAGTACTCACAAGGGTCAGTGTTGGTTCCATGCGTCATGTTCCGACCCTGGAACAACTCGATGGACCTTATTTGTTATTTCCAATTCCTGTTGGTATAATTGAGAAGTTGGATATACCCCTATCATTTTAGGGTCTTTTCTTCTGTAAGAAGACCTTGGGTTCTGCTCACTATAGAGTTAAAATGGCAGGCTGTGGGGGGATTAGCAGGCACTGGCTGCAACCTGTTGATTTTCGAACAAAACTTGGTGGTTTAGTCATTTGGTTTCTTGTATACTGATATTTTTTTCACTTTAACAATACGCTCCAACAAATTAATCGTGCCTGGACCATTAAAGAGCAACAGGGAACTCTGAACAATAGGTGCTTGTTTTACAGCTACTGCAAATGCTTCGAAAGCACTAAATTGCCTTTTATACTCAACAATCTAATAACAAAGACTGATTTTCTCCCTTTTTCTTCTCCCAATTGATTTGATGGCTCACTTGAGCTTTAAAGACACATTACATAAATCCTTATGGCCATTACAGTGTCTTTTGTCAAGTTTAATTTGGTATTTGTTTTTTTTTCTGCCGTGTAATCACTCACCCTTAAACGCAGTGTACCACATGCACACACATGGATCATGCTTGACTCTGGATCCACAGGAATAGTAAGTCCTAGAGGTTTATTTTGCATGGGGAGGGACCTAAATCCTTCCAAAGGCAGTTTGTCATGGAGAGCTCCTGGTTCAGAGGTATATCAGAACAAGCGCTGAGCACTCCCAAAGGCACCACCAACAATAGCTCTAACCTTTCCTCTATTTAACACTGCTGTTATGACTTTGTTTGGGCTTGATAGCCCGTGGTGGAAATATTATCTAGGATTAACTGAGAGGGTGGGAGATCCATCAGTACAGGCCTCTCTCCCTGCCGCAGGTTAGAGGAGAATGTGCTGCTCACCAGGCAGCAGTGGAGAGAGCAGTAAATGTTGAAAAGCCTTCAGGTACAACTAGGTACAAACCCCCAAAACCTGAGCAGACGATATTATCTTCACCAGGAGAGGCAGAGATGCTGTTAATTGCCAGGATTCCTCATCCTTCTTTCTCCTGACCCCTGTGTGTCCCAGTGACTTTCCACCGTCCTACTGGTTTTGAAGTGGAGGATTTCAATCACTCTCCCCTTTCCCAGCCCTCCCTGCTCCCGTGGTCCATGAGGAAAGCCTGACCCTGGAGGTGTGCAGGGCCAGGCCTCGCTTTGTGGAAAATGAAGAAAGAGAGGCTGAGAGAAGCAGGATGCTCTGGCTGCTCTCCCACCGACCACCTCTCTCAGTGTTACGGTCACTCGGCAAAGCTCTTTGAAGAACAGCTTGGTATAGACAGGGCTTGGCATTGTAAGAAGTTGGGGCTGTGCTGGGGAGGGAGCTGGAGGTGAAGGAGTGAATCAGAAAGAACCCAGTTAAATGCACAGAGGTCTATCTCCACCCTGAGCTGCCCAGCACTGGGGGCCAGGGTGAGCCTCCCAGTTGCTGGGTTAAGATGTGTTTGGTGCTCAGAAGTCCCCACGTGCACCCACCAGAAATTTTGTGGGTTCTGCTGCTGTTGCCAGTGCTGTAAATCTGGAGTAGCAGCACCGACTTCCCTGGCTGCGTTTGGAGCAGCTCGGAACCTGGCTTCATGTTATACCCGCTGTAAAGGCAAGACGGGTCAGATTCACGCCTGGTGGAGCAGTGGGAGGCAGCACTCTATTAATGAAGCTATTATTCGAATGAAGAAGAAAAGAGAGGGGTGGCGCTGCTGGTGACATGGTGGCACTGCTGGGGGTCACAGTAAGGAGATCCGCACAGCCAGCAGGGGCAGTAGAGCTGGCAGTAGGGCGCAGCAGCTGCGCGGGGCCAGCGGTGCCAAGGGGGCCGTGTTTCGGAGCATGCATTCCACCCTGGACCAGGAGCCATTGTTGGGCAGCGGCTGTATCCCTGCCAGGCTGCACATGATGTTGTAAACATCCACGGATCTGATGGGAGGTGCTCGGTAGTTGGATCGGAAATCTGCAGGGAAACAGGCAAATGAGAGGAGTTGGCATCATACGGCTTGGGGCTCAGCTCTGAAATGTGGGGTGCTGTGGAGCAAGGGCAGGCTGGGATGTGGCATGCTATACAATTTATAACATAGCCCAACAAAACCATTCTGAATGTTTATATTCATTTTTTTTACTTCTAGTCCAATTTTGGTCTAAAAACTTAAAAAACCTTAAAAAAATTATTAATTACAGGAGCTACTTTACTGTGTGTGCTTTGTAGATTTAATAGCCTGCAATAATTGCATTGTACATTCTGCTTTGCTTTTGCTCCTGTCTGCAGCTGTAGCCTGGTGCTCAGCAGTGTTTAAAGGGCCTGATGAAATGGAAACCAGGGGTTTTGTGTCAGCCCATCAGACAGGTGAGTGAGGGATGTTGTGGCCTTCCCAAAGAAAGGGCTCTGTGTTAGTGAGTGTGAATCCACCAACAAAAGGAGAACAAACGTGTTTCAAATAGAATTAAAAATGAAGGCTAAAATTTAGGCAAATAGGGCAAGGGGATAAAGTTACTGTGCTGGGGGGGGGGGGGGGGGGGGATGTCAGAGAGGGGCTGATCAAATCCCTTCACATCCCTCTGCCTTGTTCCTCCAGCTATGAAACAGACACAGAACTAGGAGCCTGCCTGTTATCCAGCCTTAGTGGGGAAATCCTGCCATCTATTTGTAATTCTGGGGCATCGCAGAGTGCCACATCGAGGTCCTGACATGCCAGGAGCTGCAGGGATACTGCGTCAGGGCCATGGGGCTGTTGGGGAGCAGGACACTGGGGATGGCAGCACTGTACCTGGCCCATATGCAAGGAAGAACCCTCTCATGTCCATGAGCTCGTTGTCGTAGCCGTGCCAGCCGTTCTGCCAGGCCTCCTTCCTCCCCGTCCCGTTCTCCCAGAAGGGGAGCTTGTCTCTGCTCTGGACAACGACAGCAGAGCACAGTTAGTGCCTGTCTCCTGGGCTGTGTGTGGGGTGCTGTGTGGTGCCATTCTGCGTCCCCATTTGCTGTACCACCCCACCAGCCCCCTCCTGCTTTGCCGCCTCAGCCAGTAGCCCATCTCCCAGGTGAGCAGGGAGGACAACTTTCTGCCTCTCACTCATCTGAAGTTCTGCTGTGAGCACAAAGTATCACAGCCGTGTGTGACACGTTTAAGCATGGTGGTGTCCCTCTCCCACTGCATGCTAGCATGGATCTGATGGTGTGTTGTTCTGCCCAACATGCCATTGGCACCATAGAAAAAAGAGCCATTTTTGCTCCATTTGGCTAGTCAGCTTAAACAATACAATATCACCCCTGCTATATACTTTCTAATGATTATTACTTCTTCTCCCTGCTTGTTTTAGTATTAAAGCACTGAGGTTCCTTCCAGGGAACACAGGCTCAGTCCCCTCTCCTTGGCATACACCACTCTGTTTTCTCTCCCTGCTCAGTGCATCCATGCTTTACTAATTTGTCATCATAATTCTCATTCTTCCTTGTCCATATTGCACTTAACTCATACTTTTAAATTCCTTCCTTAATTTCTTCTGCTTTGTATTAGCAGCTCTTACCAGACTACCTACAGCAGTGCCCCCTCAGGAGCAGCAGTCCATAGGGGCTGCCCAAAATGCCGGACCAATGCTTTCTGTGAGTTTCTCTTGCCCCATGCTCCCTAGGGCTGGCAGCTGATGTGACACTACAGATATCCCCAGAACTTAGACAAAAACATGAGCTGTCAGTTCATTAGACCGCTGGCATTAATTTCTCCAGTCACTACAGAAAAGGAGCTACAGTTCCCTAAGCAGCCAGGTCTGGGCTTCACACTCCATCATGTAAGCACAGAAGATGCCCTAGCAGAGTCTCCCACATTCCCATGAGTGGTACGAGTGTTGCTGCAGCCCCTGCAGATAGTGAAGCAGATTGACCAAGGATCCCTTTCCTTTTGCAAACATTTATTTTGCCTGATTTTCATTTTCCTCCTCTTCCCAAGTGCAGGAGCACTGAGGACAGCAG